GACGATTGTGGATACTAACAATCGAAACGTCGTGACGTAACTTGGTTTGGAATCTTTTAATTTTAATTTTTATTTTTCAGTTTTGTTAATATTATTTTTTAATTTTTCAGCTTTCATTAATATTTCAATTTTTTGTGTTCTGGTTGTAGCTTGTATGTTATTTCCTTGTAATTTCAGTTTTTTGTTTTAATGAAATTGTTATTTTCGGTTAATCTTTTCATTTTTTATTATTTTCAGGGATTTCAAATCAATTTATATTCTATTTAGACAATGGAAGTCCGAACTGATGAAATAACTTTTGATACCTGCAGAGGAGATCTACTTACTTTGGAACTACCTACCTAGTTGTGAAGAGAAAATATTCATTATTATATCCTAGAGGTCTCTAGGTAGTAATGTTTGGTGCGAAACATTTGGATCAAGAATTATTGGTCTATTTTTTACGAATTATTATTAAATGGTACAAGGTATGTAGAGTGTATGACTGCCATTCTGAACAATTCCTTGAAAAAACTCAACCTCTTAAGTAGGCATAATTCTTACTTCTTTCGGAATGGAGTGCTTGCTCATAATCACATAGAGATGTAGCAGTGTCTGTTCAATGATTAATGGGTAGGAATGTATGGTTATATACAGTTATTTTTTCATCGGATTTTTTAAATTATCCTGTTTGAGGAATGAACTTCATCAGGAACGCTATGCGATATGTAATATGTTGGTACTCCAAAAACAGAAAATAATGGAAAAAATGGTAGCTGTTGATGGCAAAAGCGTGCTGTATTCGACCAGATCAATAAAGGACACAAATATGTACTGAAGACAGGGATGGCTTCTTTGAGTTCCTACTGAGAAGACAACCAATTTCTAAATTTCGATTCGAATAAAAATAACGAAGTTCATCTTGTATTTATCATATTTCTTTTTAGAAAAAGTTGGCATGTACTTTTATAAGCATATATGATATAACATATTATTTTCTACCAGAAATGACATTATATTTCCATTAGAAAAAAATGCTTTCTCTCAAAAAATCAAAAACGTGTTAAATATTTATTTTTCAAAATATTATTTCTAGAGGTACATGAGATAAAACATATCAGTAAGGCTTTATTATTTTCTACACATCAAAATAGCACCAAATGCGTTTATAGTAAGTTTGGTCATAAGGGATATAATTAGGAAGATAACTCCACCTGTTCTAGGAGTCAAGGAGTCATGAAAATATAGAGCTAAGGTGGTAGATAGTTCAAATTTACAGTGTCAATTGGGACCATGTGGTTGGCACTACGACAAAAGTCATATTATTCGTGCCAGATAATCTCGTAAAAATGTCTACGTGACTAAGGCCTGACGACTTCGACAACTGCGGAACTAGCCAAACGTTACACCCATG